GGACTATCCCCACCCTCTCTTGAGCCCTCCCAGCATCTGCATCTCCCAGTCAATCTGACTAACTTGCCGTCCTCCACTTCCAGGGAACCACTGTGCCTTCTTCTCCCATCCATCCACACCTTCTGTTGGGCTAAATGTGCTTGCAAACTGGTAACACTGTGGGTGGATGTTTTGTACCCCCCTGTACATAGCACCTTAGAAACAGTCAAATGTTGAGTTAATGGCCAAACTTTTCAAATGAAGGGATTTCACATTAAAAACCTGGTTTTCTGGCACTCCTTTCGGGAAGCAGAACTCTCGACTAGCTGCCAATCCTGCCTGGCAGGAGCTGATGAGCAACCCATTTCTGCTTCTCAACCTGCCTCTCACCTTGTCATCCTTGAGATGCTACCAATTTGCCAGCGCTGCAGGTTCCAGGGCTGACCTGATAGGGCACCGAGGGATGACTGAAGGTGTGGCTTAGTGTTTTACAAGATATGATCTGGTGTTTTCCCTGTTGTCACCTCAATTCTTCTATCTGGGGAGACATCCCACTCCAGACTGTGAGTTCTAGGAGGTGACACCAGGGAGGCTGGAGGAGGAATGCCTGCAAGAGCCACAGCCACAGGTGTTCCTGTGCCCTTCTGGCCTCTAGGCAGCTGGAGAGGCCCAACCGCATGGCCTCATGGGACTCTCCTATCACAGATGCTCATCAGAGCCTGGAAGCAGAGGCTGGGCTGACAGGAGGAAGGGCCTGCTGGGGTCAGGACACACCCGTTCTTTGGAGACATGAACAATAATGCCTGGAGGCCGGGGTGTTGTATGTTGTATCCTCCCTTCATTACAGACATGAGTAGCCACCATGGCTACAGGAGCTTTAAAGTCATTGCTCCCAGCCACACTTGCTAAGTATCCAGTGTTGTGCCTCACCTGGTACCTAAATCAACTAATCCTACTATTGTGGGGTATCCAAGACTGCCCAGTGTCCTCGCTATGTGCTGGCTACTTTGTGGCAGGGTTACAAAACTAGATTTCAGAAAATACAGGTGGGGTTTGAGCTCTGGAGCCTCACATTGGTTGTCCAGAGACTTGGGTACTCTTCCATGTATGGGAGACCTGGACAAGTCTCCACTAACCTTCAGCTTCCTCATCTGCCAATGAAGCCCAAGACACCTCCCTCCCTGAACCTGCCAGACACATTGAAGGGTGAAGAAACCTAAATGGAAAATGCTATTGTGAACACTGAGGACCACCACATGCAATTCAGTTTAAGCAAGCATCTGCTGTCTAGTTACATCGAGATTCTCCTCAATGATGCCCCACTGGGTCTGTATAGCCCAGGCTCACAATCAGAGTCCAAAGGAGCACCAGCCATCAAGGCCTGTTTGTGCCTCTGGACCTTCCGAGTCCCAGCAGATTGGGAACCCTGGCAGGGGTTAGGGGTCGAGCCAAGCAATGACCATAGAAGCTACACTAGCATGGGGAATTGGAATGACCTTGTTGCAGCTCATGAAAGTTGGCAGATGTGGTACAGGTCCCTTCCCAGCCTTCTGCTCAGTCACTGGAGGATGAGAGCCTGCCACAGACCAGGATGGGAATACTGACACACAGCAATTGTTAAATAGTACAAATCAGAGATTTCCAAGTCCCCTCGGCCAGCTGTTAGCACAGCAGCAAGGAAGTGAGGAATGGTCCTTGCATCTCTGGCATCCTCCTGTAGGTGAAGGCTCCTTGATCATCAGGGTGGGAGGCAGTTGTGAATTCGGGGAGCCAGGACTTCCTGCTGGTTCTGAACAATGTCCATGATCATCCACCAGAGAAGCCACCTCATGGGGATGACCAGGGAATGCTTCTGACACTAGGAAGATTCAGTCAGTAAATACTGCAAACGCCACCTGAGAGGAGGTCCAACAGGCATTACAGGGAATGCCTGTCAGAGCAGTGGCTCTCAAAGCTGATTGCCCATTTGGAATCACCTCGGGACTGCAAACGCCACCTGAGAGGAGGTCCAACAGGCATTACAGGGAATGCCTGTCAGAGCAGTGGCTCTCAAAGCTGATTGCCCATTTGGAATCACCTCGGGAGAAAAGTACAAATCCTAGGCTGGGGCTGCTCAGTTGGTAGAGTGCTTCTATATCATGCAGAGTCCTGGGTTTGGTCCCCAGCACCATGGGAACTGGGTGAGGTGATCCCAGCACTTAGGATATGGAAGCAGAAGGATCAAAACTTCAAGGTCATCTTCAGCTACATAGGAAATTGGAAAGGCCAGACTGGGCTACATGAAACCCTGTCTCAAGGCTGGGGGTGAGTGAGCACAGCCAAGAAGATAGCTCAGCCAATGGTAAAGTGCTCACATTGCTAACATGAGTACCTGAGGTCAAAACGCACCTCCCACAGGAAATTGGGTGGGCTGATGTGTGTTTGTATCCCTGCACCAAGAAGGCAGACACAGGAGGATCCCTGGAGCTCCCTGGCCATCTGGTCTCATCTAATTGGGAGCTCCAAACCAATGAGAGGCCCTGTCTCAAAGGAGGTGGATGTCATTCCTGAGGATGACACTCAAAATTGTCCCTTGGTACCTACACACACACACACACACACACACACACACACACACACACACAGAGAGAGAGAGAGAGAGAGAGAGAGAGAGACAGACAGACAGACAGACAGACAGACAGACAGACAGACAGACAGACACACACAAAGTACTAATCTTGTACCTAGGTCCCAGTAGTCTTGGACTAAGCCTGGGCACCAGAATTTGTCAAACTTCAGGTGATTCTAAGATGCCGCTGGGGTTGATAGCCTCTGATTTACAGCAAAGGGCATCAGCTGGGAGCTTGTTATTTGGTTGTTATTTTTAAGCTTGTTGAGAGATATGAAATGGGTGCTCCTCTGTCTAGAGTAACAGCAAGGACACAAAAGTGGTTTCTTGGTCAGTGCCTTGTGTTGTAGTTGAGTTGGGCGCCCAGTATGAGGTTTGCCAAGGACCAGAACCATCCTCCTGGCCTTTGGGCTATCTGTTGCCATGGTGATAGGATGAGATCATGCATGACACAGGATGTATTTCTCAACCTCTCCACAGGCTCCAGGCTCTGTGCCAGGCCCCAGGGGACGCATGGTGAATAGGACACTGGGTTATTTCTATAGTGGAAGTCTCGGCCTGAAGAATCCAAGTGCCAACAAACACTCCTTAAATAAAAGTGTGACTTGGAGTCACAGGGAAAGAACAGGCGGCTGTGGGGGGAGATTATGGATACAGGGCTGAAAGATGGGATCCCATATGGGAGGGGACATCTCTTGTCATCAATGCACCTCGTCATCCAGGACTGTCCTGGCCTTAACAGTGAAAGTCTATGTCCGGAACAAAAAGAGACAGTTGGTCACCCTTAGTATGACAATGCCCTGCTGCGCTGAAGAGCCCCTCAGCTGATAAAGCCAGTGTTTCCTATGGGTTTCTGTGGTATTTGGGTACTTCTATTAATTTTTGGAGCTGTGTACCGATGATAAGGACTTGTCGTAGGTCCCAGGTGTCCCAAACAATGGGACCATGGAGAAATGAGAGCCGGGGTCCATCCTGAGTGAATACCTCCATGTCTACAGAGAAGAAAGGAGTTGTCCATCCTGAGTGAATACCTCCATGTCTACAGAGAAGAAAGGAGTTCCCCAGGCCCTGACCAGGTGCTAAAGTGGCCACCAGATCATGACAACTTCATGGGGCCCCCACAGATTTGTTGATCCATGTGACATTATGGAAGTCATCTCTCCAGGTAAATGGACTGCCTAGGAAGAAACCCAGCCACTAGTGAAGTGTAAGACAAACTCATTGTTACTTCCCCAGGAAAGATGGGCCACAGGCAGATTCTAATTGGGTATCTCAATGTCTCAGACACAAGTCACCCCTGGGAGACTCAGTGAATTTAATTGTACAGTGCTGGACAGCTGCTGCCCAGCCCCAGAGTGCCAGGAGGTGACAGAGAGCAGGCCTGCCATCCACTCCTCACCAGGACAGTGTCAGCAGCTAATCTTGCCATTTCCCTAGGCAGCTGAGGCCCTGAGTATGATTTTATCTCAAAACTGGTCTCAGCCACTGTATTAGTTCTCTAGAGGAACTAATACACTGTTAGGGTTCTCTAGAGGAACAGAACTTATAGAATGAATATATATATGGGATTTATTAGAATGGCTTACAGGCTGGTATCCAGATAGTTGAACAATGCCTGTCTAACAACAATGTCCAATAATCCAATAGTTGTTCAGTCTGTGATCCAGATAACTGAAAAATGCCTGTCTAACAACAATGTCCAATAATCCAATAGTTGTTCAGTCTGTGAGGCTGGATATCTTAGCTGGTCTTCAGTATGTGCCAGAATCCCAAAGAAGTAGGCGCTAGTGGAATGGATTTGCTAGTGAGAGTGAGAGCAAGCAGGCAGAGAACAAGCTTCCTTCTTCCATGTCCTTATATAGGCTGCCACCAGAAGGTGTGGCCCAGATTAAAGGTGCATCTCCCCACCTCAAAAGATCGGGATTAAAAGTGGGTCTTCCCACTCCAAATGATTTAATTAAGGGGAAAAAACAAAAACAAAAACAAAACTCCCTCACAGGTGTGCCCAGCTGTTTGGGTTTTAGTTAATTCAGAGTATAGTCAAGTTGACACCATGAACAGCCACCAACTACCAGGGTTTCTCATGGGTGAGCCAGGTGTGTCTGAATCTGCTCCTATTAAAATGCAGATTCCTGGCCTGTGCTCCACACTACTTCTCCGTGATCTCATTAAGTAGTACAGGCTGGTCTCAAACTTAAAATCCTCCTGCCTCCGCCCCCTGAGTGCATACTACATAGCTCCTTGGGTCCTCCTGAAGCTTGGCAGTGTGAGAGCTGGGCCTGTAGGGATGGTTATCCCAAGCAAGCTTTTCTGAAGAACATGGGGCCTTCTGTTTGGAGGATCCGAGCTCGCCAGCCTTGTATCTCTGACTGAAAACTCTCCCACAAACTTTGCCAGGATCCCAGGGCTCATTGCTAGAAAGGGGCGTGGCCTTTGGGACTAGTCACTGTGAGTCATTTAACCATGGGAACCACCAAGGGAGAGAGGAAGCAGCCAGCTCCCCCCAGAAGCCTCCATGGTGCAGGATTAACTTGGAGCCCAGTCCCCAGGTGGCTTCCCACACCTTTCTTGGGCTGAACATGAGGCAAACGACCTTGTCCAAGTTCTACTGGGGAGTGGGACACTCAGCACATCAGTCTTCATCCCCACCATGGACAACCTGGCCTCCTGTCCACAGGTTTGTTTCTTCCTCCCCACCCACAGCCACTTAACCCTTGTGCAGTGGGTAGCTGTTGGGAAGCAGTTTCTCCTTAGGTCTCAAAGTCAAGGGGTTGTCCATTTGCAGTGGAGAATCCCCTGTGAATCAAAAAGAAAACTCAAGTCTGGCTGCCATGTGTTCCCATCATGAGGTCCTGACACAGGCTTGTGCACTGATGAGTATCGAAGTGCTCATGGGAGACAGGGGCAGTCATGTGACCAATTCAATTCTTTGGTTCCTTTTGGCCCACTCATGGCTTCATAATAAGAGAACGGTGTATGAAAACTGGCCCTCCTCCCCCAGTGAGTCTTCCTCTCACCGTTGTTTCTATAGCTATGATTTTTAATGGTGTTTTAGAATAATAATATTAAAAACTCTCTTTGCCCATTCGCCTGTCTAGAAGGCATCTGTGGACGGATGACAGTGTTGTGCACTTGAGCTCTTCATAGAAAAGCCTTGCTTCTTGCTTCAAGTATGCCCTTTTCTCAGCCAATGTCCATGGACTTGTAATGAGAACCTTCTCAGCTTTTGCTGATCTGGAGACAGGCCTCTTCGATAGACAGGGTGGTCCCAGCCCTGCTTCACAATCTCCTTTAGAGAGGAGAACTCCTGAGTATCACCCAGACTGTTCAGGAGGATGGTTCCATCCTTTGTTCATCCTTCAGCTTGAACCACTAGGTTCTAGGACCCCTCACCTGCCTCAGGACCAAGTCTGGCAGCAGCCTCAGGGCTGGTGTCCTGAAATGCTCTCTGGGAGGGGTGGGCAGCAAGAAGCCCACCACATGGACACAGACAGGTCTCAGTGGTGTGCACGCCTGTCAGGCACTACCCATGATGCTGGCCATGTACTCTGGGGACATGTGTATGACACTTCTTTGCATTAGAGACACAAGTTGGGACCTATCTTGGAGCTGAGGTTAGCTCCTGAAGAAGCTGATACCAGGAAGTTTCCGTGCTTCTTCAAGAAGCCAAGCCCCTCTGTTGAAATCCATCATTTTCTTCTGTGTCCTGACCTTCCTTAAAAAGCTAAAATCATTGGCTTCATGTTGGGGGATATTTGATCACACTGTTTGCATTTGTTTTAATTAAATAAAATTAATCTTGGATCAAGAGGTTGAGTTAGCAACTAGTTGACAGAAAATAATCATAGAGCCTCAGAGGGGATCTGGGAAAGATAAGAGACAGGAAGTAGAGGGGTTTGGAATGGCAGTTTTTTTGTGGCTTGGCCAAGTGGAAGCACAGGTCTTCTGTGGACTCCAGCAAGGAAAGAGGGTTAACTAGCTGCTACTCAGCCTCTCTGAGCTTTCAGGCTTTCACCCCATCCTTTGATCTCACATCTTATTCATAATCAGAACGATAGTGATTTAGTTAAAGCTACCTTTAGTGGCAGGGACTGTCCAGTGTCTGCAGAAGCAGAATTCTCTCCAGGCTGCGGCTCGAGTGGCCGCTGCTAGAGAAGCAGGCCAGTAACTGCAGAGCAATTGCTGGCTGAGATAGCAATGGATTAAGGCACAGCCACTGTGCTGAAGTTAAAACAACAGCTCCACATCAGAATCATCAGCTCCACTCAACACCATCGACCTACTCATTGAGCTGCTGACCCTAACACAGAGCAGACAACAGACACAGCCTCCTGCAGCCAGGCACCCTAAGCCTCAACAAAGGGAGTGGCTTTTAGAGGTTCTGAGAGAGAAAGAGAAAAGCACAATCCAAGAACACTGGGCTCTTCTCTTGGGCTGCTGTGTGCTTGCTTTTCTGGCTGTCTCCTCATCTCCTTCCAAGGAGTTTCCCATGATTCCCTGAGATAGGACCTTCTAACGGCTTAGATTTTGCTGTGAAAGGCCTTTGTGTATTTGGCAGCCTTATCATGTCTTCCTCCACATCCCAGTCTGGGAGCCTCACCCCTGGGCCACCTTCCAGCCACCAGCTGTTGAAACTCACAGGTGTGCTGGCCAGATCTTGCACAGACACATGAGGTCCTTCCTCTGGCCCAAACTGAAAAGTGACTTAACATGTCACAAGATAGCTCACGGGAGCAAAGAAGACATTTCCCCCGTCCATCAAGATACCACTTCTATAACAGAGCCCAAGTAAGTGTTCTCCATTAGAAGGGCATTGTGGCAGCTGGGTGATGGTGGTGCAGGTCTTTAATCCCAGCACTTGGGAGGCAGAGGCAGGCAGATCTCTGAGCTCCAAGACAGCCTGATCTACAGAGTGAGTTCCAGAACAGCCAGGACTACACAGAGAAATCCTGTCTCAGGAAAGAAAAAAAAAGTGTGTGGGGTGTGTGTGGCTACTGGCATTGTTATAATAACTCTAGTATCCAATGGTTCCTTTTTTCAGGGACGTTTTGCACTTATGAATGAATGTGGTTCCGTTGCCAATGACAACAGCTTCTGCCAATGCTGCTCTGAACCGCTCATGTTCCATTTATCATGTCACGGCCAAATTGTGTGCAGCCACAACCATGGTTGCTTTATAAAGAGAAAGTTGTGGATGTAACGGTGCAGGTCGTTCCTTCTGAGGAGGCACTGACCTTGTTCACACATGTGTGACCATTACCTAAAAGATGGCCATACTGGCCGCCGTGGCCTTGTTGGGTTCCAACCCACCCAAATCTGGCCCCCAGAACTTCCAACACATGCCCCAGCTCTGGCGGGCAATGCATAAAGTGACTATCCAGGTCATCAGCTTTTGAACTCAAACCCAACAGATGACTCCAGTAGAGTTTCAGCCACAGGGACAAAGGTGACAAAGGCCACCATGCCTGGAGGCATCAGTACCTGCCTCCCGATGAGCTTCCTACACAAGAAGCAGACTCCTTAGAGAGCACTGTTCAACTTTCATGTAGGATTGCCAGCAAAGACGGTGGCCAGATCCAGAGCCCAAGACTGCTTAATTAATTAATTAATTAATTAATTAATTACTGTGTGGTCTTGAGCAGACTACTGTTGTCCTTCACCTGTCAGAAGTCCACCAGGTGACTTCTTGAGGACTCCGAGAGAACGTGGGATTCCCAGCACCCAAGTCTGTGGCCTGGAGAACCTTGTCCCTGGATACCTCTGGATCCTTTTTGATAAGGAGTAAGGAAAGCATCGGACCTGAAATGCATTCACACACCCTGTGTCAATGTGCTCCCAGCAAGCACTTTAGTGGAGGAGAGAGTGCCCGGTAGGGGATGGGAGTTTGGGGCTCCTGTCCCTCAGCGTGAGCTCTGGGATCCATACCACATCTCCTGTGTGAGACTTGAATCATATTACTCTTCCCTGAGTAATATTCCCCGAGTACACATTTCCTAATTGGAGGAAGAGTTGAGACTTTCACTGGAAATGGGTCAATAGGTATAGGCGCTGCCTTGTAAGGGGGTGGAGTGAGGAGTTCCTCTATACCTGAGGAATGGTCTTTCCTGGGATGGGAAGGAATCTCTGGACTTCAGCACTGAGGAGCCAATCGACAGGCAGTGGCCTTTCTAGATGGGTGAAAGGAAATCCCCTTGGCCATCCATAGTCTCCACAAGGCTAGAGAAGACTCCCCCCATGTTTGGTGGAGTTCCAGTCTCCAGGCTGGATGTCTCAGCTAGTCTTCAGTAGAAGCTGGAATCCCAATGAAAGAGACTGTAATGCCAGTAAAGAAATGGACTTGCTAGCAAGGCGAGAGCAAGCAGGCAGAGAACAGAAGCTTCCTTCCTCCATGTGAAGGCTCTGTGAGTTAGACTGAGGAAAGAGAGACTAGCAAGAGAAAGCATGAACGAGAGGATGGGCACCTCACCCTACACTTGGGAGCACTCAGGTGAGTAAGTTAGAATTTGGCCAAATTCCATCGAAGTACCTTAACCAGAGAATACTTAATTTTCAGAGACTTGACAAGACAAGGAACGGCACTTTGAGGTGTGGGAAAACAAATAAGTGAGCAAACTAAGTTAGAACAGTGAGGATAGGCAATGCTTTCCTATACAGATTCCTCAGATGGTGTTCTTCAAGATGTAAAGATATCCCTGGTAGAGCAGAGATGGGACACTTTTACAAACCCCGTCCAACAGTAAAATGGAGGTGGCTCAACACGTAGCAGCACTTACAAACCTAGCCCGGGTTTAGTGGAAAGGCATAGAGTTGTGCTTAGATCCACTTCTCCATTGCCTTGAGCTCCGACTAACCCTCATGCTAAAGGGACACATTCTGCCACCCTCAGACTGTCCTTACTACCGTGATATGACCCTTTTCTTCCACCATCTCAAGAGTTTGCCCAGACAGCAAGCTAATCATCCTTTCACACCGCCTGCATACAGAGATGGGGACCCGAAGTGACAGGGGAATACTGTGAGCTGATTTAACCTGTCCAGTGTGAAGAAAAACACACTGAATGAATGAGCTCCAAGAGGAAAGAGTGATTTGTGAATGACTCTCTTTGGGAGTTAGTGGGCCTGAGAGACTGATGATAGCTTGTAGGTGAGTGATTAGATGAGTGGATGAATGGATGTGTGGCCGTGGTCCTATGAACAAGACATGTCCTATACACAGGTACATGGATGAAAAGGTGGGTAGATGGGAGAGATCTGTTGCATGTCTGATGCATAGATGGATGCATAGATGCATGGATGAATGGATAGAACAGTGGATAATACATGCATGTATGCATGGGTGGTTGGATCATACATGCATGGGTTGATGATGCACACATATATGGGATTGATGTCTGTCTGTCTGTCTGTCTGTCTGTCTGGCTGAATGGATGGGGGAACAAATGGATAAAGCATGCATGGGTGGACAGCTAGGTGGGTGACACATGCATGGATGGATGTGTGGATGCACTGATAAATGTATGAGTGTGTGGATAGATGGATGGTTCAAGCATGG